CTCTTGTCTTCCTGGACCATTCTCTTGCCTTCACCATGTTTGTAACCACACCAGTAAATGTCTAGAAGGAGCTGAGTATCACAGTCATTTTAAAGCTGCCTAATTGGTGCTTATTATGCTTGATTGCTGCTCGGTGACATCCACAGGTGTTTTCAATACCTGATGGAAAGCACCTGTATGACCTCTGTTCTTTTCAGAGTGGTAGTCTTTAAGGGGTTGAATAATTGTGGCAATGAAGAAACCACATAAGAACCATTTACTACTGTATTACATAAACAATTGATGTCATTTTAGTTGCATTTGGGTAGTTACAACGTCCTTGTAGGATTTGATTCTGAATACAATTCCAAATGTACACTATAGTCCCTAAACCCCTTTACAGCATTGGGGGTTGAATAATTTTGGCCACAACTGTATATATATATATATATATATATATATATATATATATATATATATATATGTATGTGGGTATATGAAGCCTTACATTTAAAGCCTAAGTGCAACCAAAATGAATAAAACAAAAAAAAAAAAAATGCAGAAAAATCAGCACAAGGGACAGTACTTCAGTCAGTAGGATGTGTACCTTGTGGTGATTTCTCTGTTATTAATAATAAAACAACCCCCACCACCACAGTCTTCCGGTGTGGTAAAGGTTAATGCAACTTAGGGGCTGTCTCAGAGTCTTATCAAGAGGGCTCAACTATGCCTGCCTTTTCTGCCTAGCTCCGCCATTCATAGAACCTTGGCAGAAAAGGGAAGGCATAGTCAGAAATCAAGAGAGAAACAGCGCCTCTAAGTGCAGACTGTGACACAATGTTTAATAGTTAAAAAGTAGGTAGGCAACTCACGCTTGTGCATCTTGAGAAAAGAGCGCGTGGGTCTACTCCAGACCCTACACATGCTCGGAAACGCCTCGCACTTAGACAACGTCAGATGCTGACGCTGCTGTCCATGACTGTGCTGTACAGCGGGCCTCTTGTACTGGAGGAAGTTCCGGAGGGTCCATCCATCTACGCCGACTCCTACCACCCTACAGCAGCATATCACCATGGTGATGAGGCATACTGATGATCTATTCTATTGATGAGCCTGTTTTTTATCAATACCATGTGAGTTGCCTACCTACTTTTTAACTATTAAGAGTTGTGTCACAGTCTGCACTTAAGAGGCGCTGTATCTTTCTTGGTTTATTCTACATTTAGAGCCTTCTTCTACTCTACTACAGCCTGCCCTGATGCTTAGACTGCCCTACCTCCAATCCTATATTTGGACCCCTATATCTGGACTCATTCAAGAACTTATTATGGACTTAAGGGTATGCGGGTTCCATGCACCTATAATTCTCATTGCATTGTATCTCTTGATAAGAGCCCGTGACTGTCCCTTAGTTATAATAACCCCTGCAACACTAAAAGATTACAGCAGCGGGGGTCGGGAGCAGGACAGAACAGGTTTACTACCAATAACAGAGAAATCAACACAAGGGACACATCCTGCTGACTGCAAATCATGTCCCTTGTGCTGATTTTTCTGCTCTTGATTTTGGCTGCACTTAGGCTTTAAACACCTACAGTATGTGTAAAGAACTTTAGGTCTCCTGCACACATATTGAATTTACTCACAAATATGCTGGATCGGATGGGTAGGAAATACATGTAATGGTCCATAAAGTACATGTGTTTATGCGCGTGTAAACATGCAAACAGCATTTTGAAGCCTAAGAATACTTCTTTTTTTTCTTTACTACTAGAATGGATTTACATGCGTGTGCATGTACTCGCGTTTATAAACGAATATGTGTAAGATAAGCAAATATATTTCTCTCCGTTTTTCAGGAACTGGCCTTTTTTCTTTTTAATGCACGTCTATGTGTAAAAGCCCTTAAACACACGCAAGAAAACAAAAGGCACACAGGATAGCAAGGAAAGCTTACTAAACACCCAACCAAACTGAAGCAGGGGAATATATCTCCTGCAGCAGTTGGCTCCTGTTTACGGCCATAACAGGGAGGTTCATTCTTCCGCAGTGACATGTTGGGGAGGGGGGGGCAGGGGGACGACAATGGTACACAGGTAAAAAATGTACCGTAAGTGTCTTCAATGAAAGGGGCTAGCAATGGCATTTTATGACAAACTACAAAGGCTGACTTAAAATAAATGAATAACTTCCTTATCTCTTTTTTTTTAGCCTGTATATAGATCCAGATACGCCTTACAAATTAAAACTTTTCTTTCTTCTTCAACAGTGTACCTGCCGCCCATTAGCAGAAATCCTGCTACAGGGAGGCATGGCTGCACAAAATCACGTATAAATACATGATTTTGAATTTCTAGGTAGAGGGCGCCATTGGCATTTCAGCTGTCAATCACTCAGTCCTGCTCGGAGATTCCCTGCCGGTACCCAGCGATCGCCGAGTATCACTGACTGGGGAGAAACTTGTATGTAAGCAATGCAGATCTCTCCCCTGTCAGCTCCAGCACACGGCTTTGTATTGCTCTGCATAGAAGAGCAGAGCAAAACAAAGCAGCATGCGTACACTGTAAAACACACACTGCACACAGTTAACCCTTTGATCACCCCAATGTTAATCCCTTCCTGCCCAGTGTCATTGGCTTAATATCAGTGCTTTTTATTCGCACTGATCACTGTATTAGTGTCACTGAGGATGACAGTGACAGTCAGTTCCCCCCCAGTGTCAGGATGCCCGCCGCAGTCCCGCTATAAGCCGCTGATCACCACCACTCCTAGTAAAAACATGTAGCAGAATACATATTGGCCTAAATTTATGACGAAATGTGTATTTGTTTAATAGCAAAAAATCAAAAATATTGTTTTTGTCTCAAAATGGTCAGGGTTTTTTTGTTTATAGTGCAAAAACATAAAAAAAACACCAACAGAAAGCTCCATTTGTGGGGAAAAAAAGGACATAAATTTAATTTGGGTGCAGTGTTGCATAACCGCGCAATTGTCAGTTAAAGTAATGCAGCTCAGTATCGCAAAAAATGGCCTGGTCAGTAAGGGGGGTAAATCCTCTGGAGGGCAAGTGGTTAAAAAGCAAGGATACATTACGGAGCATGCAATGCGTACAGACTGATTCACTACAGGCTGTCACATACAAGATATAAAGAAGAAAACAAGACAAGAAAAGCATGTCTCCCTGACCACACAGATGATTTATACCGTGCTATAAAACACGTAGTGTCATTTTTTACAGTGCTTTTCAGAAGCTGTATTTTACACGCCGTTGGTGTGCATGCCAATATATAAAAATACTTTGAATGCAGCTATTGATGAACATATAAAGAGGAACTGCCTTATACAGGCAAAATGGAGATCTCTCATTGATCTCTTCATTCTGATAAAAGAACTGCCCGGTATTGGAAATTACATAGTCTATTCACCCTCTAGCAATTTCAGCAGAATTTACCATCTATCTTGAGCACATAAATCTCAGCGTAACAAAGCAAGCACAATATATGTGTGTTCCTGCTCCCGTTTCCACTGTTGTACATGTAAAAACACAGGCAGATTGCTTCCAGTTTGCAAACTGGGCCATGGAAAACAATGGGGCTGATTCAGTAAGGGAGCATTCACAGTTAGTGATGCATTGAGGTACGCCATTGCACATTGCTTTATGACAACGCAAAAAATATTTGATTTTTTTACAGATATTTACATAGTGCTGACAATTTACGCATCGCTTTACATACTGTACATTCACATCAGTCTCTGCCCTCACAATCAATATAAAGGACCTTTTTTTGGTATGTGCATTGTGGTGGGCTAGTGGTACATTTTTTGCTACTGTATTGGTGTGTTGGTGTGCCATTTAACCACTTGCGATCCTGACCAATTCTGATATTCCTCTCCTACATGCAAAAATCTGGATTTTTTTTGCTAGAAATTACTTAGAACCCCCAAAGATTTTTATATATTTTTTGAGCAGAGGCCCTGCAGAATAAAACAGTGGGGGTTACAATTTTTTAATGTCATATGGTACTTGCGTAGAGGTTTTTCAAACACATTTTACACTTTACGCTTTAATGAATTTTAATCCACAAAAACACAATAACATACCCAATTGTTTGCTAAAATACAAACGTTGATGTTATGCCAAGTAAATAGATACCTAACATGTTACGCTTTAAAATTGCACGCGCTTGTGAAATGGCGACAAACTACGGTACTTAAAAATCTCCATAGGCGAAGCTTTAAAAGCCTTTACTGGTTACCAGTTTAGAGTTACATAGGAGGTCTGCTGCTAAAATTATTGCTCTCGCTAGAACGTTCCTGGCAATACTTCACATGTGTGGTGCACACACCATTTACATACATGTGCACACCTATGTATGCGTTTGCTTTTTGCGCGCAAGCACGGGGGGGGATGGGAGCGCTTTACATTTTTTTCTTTTAATATTTATTTTACTTAATTTTTTTTCATTTTTACACTTTTTTTTTTTATCACTTTTACGGCTATCACAAGGGATGAACATGGAGCAGTGACATGTCCTCTTTATGGGGAGATCTGGGGTCTCTAGTCATCCCCTGTACTGTCTGCAGTCTCTGGTCATCTCCTGTACCCGCGTCCGCAGTCTCTGGTCATCTCCTGTACCGCGTCCGCAGTCTCTGGTCATCTCCTGTACCGCGTCCGCAGTCTCTGGTCATCTCCTGTACCGCGTCCGCAGTCTCTGGTCATCTCCTGTACCCGCGTCCGCAGTCTCTGGTCATCTCCTGTACCGCGTCCGCAGTCTCTGGTCATCTCCTGAACCGCGTCCGCAGTCTCTGGTCATCTCCTGTACCGCGTCCGCAGTCTCTGGTCATCTCCTGTACCGCGTCCGCAGTCTCTGGTCATCTCCTGTACCGCGTCCGCAGTCTCTGGTCATCTCCTGTACCGCATCCGCAGTCTCTGGTCATCTCCTGTACTGGTTGGCAGTCTCCTGGTCATCTCCTGTACTATGTCTGCAGTCTCTGGTCATCTCCTGTACGATGTCCGCAGTCTCTGGTCATCTCCTGTACTGTGTCCGCAGTCTCTGACCATCCCTGTACTGTGTCCGCAGTCTCTGGTCATCTCCTGTACTGTGTCCGCAGTCTCTGGTCATCATCCCTGTACTATGTCCGCAGTCTCTGGTCATCTCCTGTACTATGTCCGCAGTCTCTGGTCATCTCCTGTACTGTGTCCGCAGTCTCTGGTCATCTCCTGTACTGTCCGCAGTCTCTGGTCATCTCCTGTACGATGTCCGCAGTCTCTGGTTATCTCCTGTACTGTGTCTGCAGTCTCTGACCATCCCTGTACTGTGTCCGCAGTCTCTGGTCATCCCCTGTACTGTGTCCGCAGTCTCTGGTCATCCCCTGTACTGTGTCCGCAGTCTCTGGTCATCTCCTGTACTGCGTCCGCAGTCTCTGGTCATCTCCTGTACTGCGTCCGCAGTCTCTGGTCATCTCCTGTACTATGTCTGCAATCTCTGGTCATCCCCTGTACTACGTCCGCAGTCTCTGGTCATCTCCTGTACTACGTCCGCAGTCTCTGGTCATCTCCTGTACTACGTCCGCAGTCTCTGGTCATCTCCTGTACTACGTCCGCAGTCTCTGGTCATCTCCTGTACTATGTCTGCAGTCTCTGGTCATCTCCTGTACTATGTCCGCAGTCTCTGGGCATCTCCTGTACTATGTCTGCAGTCCATTAGTTCAGGATATTTTTTTTCTTGTTTTTCTCCTCTAAAACCTAAGCGCGTCTTATGGTCAGGTGCGTGTTATGGAGCGAAAAATACAGTAATGGTAAGGCTCTTTTCAGACTTGTGGTACTGCTTATCCCTCTCAGAAAGAAGTCACATGATTCCCCAGGCTAAACAGTATAGATGGAGTAATCTTCTCTGCTGGCTGTTGTATTCTGACAACCAAGGGTGACATCTGATTGGCTGCAATTTCTGTTTGGCTGAGATGTTTCCACTGGGTGCCCTCGATTTTAAAATCAAAGTCTGTGGAGCTAGGCGGTACTTGAATTTTGGCTCAATCAGTAAAAATCTGCTGAAGCCATGATAGCATAACAATTTCTTTGCTAGGTCAACAGCTTCTAATCCTTTGGTGAATTAACCCACAAGAGAAAACCGGTAATTCTTTTGAAAACCAGAGAGAAAAAGCTGCAAACTGCATTTTTGCCAAACTACAACCAAAAGAAAGCTATAAATGGAAACTGTAGCACTAAATACAAGGGCACAGACATTTCTTGATGGTTCTTTACAATTTGATTTCTTACTATAACAGAGGAAAAATACTCTGAATTCAAAGTGATGTTTGAATAACCTTAAACCTGGCCATACACTAGTAATATTTAATTTGAAAGTTTATGATTTCTAAACTATTGCTCAATTTTTGTTCGCATTTCTAACAGCCTGTAGTTTTCTTTCTTGAAATTCCATTCATACCAAAACTGAATGTTAAAAACAAACGAAATGTTGAACGTTTGATCAATCTTCATCAAATCTCTGTTGGCAGTATAAATGTACTGACAAAATTTTTCATATATGAACATTAGTTTGAAAATCTACCAGTTTAAAGAGTAACTCCACTACTGTTGAGAAAAAACAATCCCCTCCGGGTGAACAATGATGTGCACTGCAAGGATTAACCAAACTTTGTTGCATATTCCTACCTTTTTCTGCTCTGAAGAAATAGATGTTTATTTGACCATTCCTGTGCAGGCGGATTTTAAATTGGGAGGTACTGGTTCATCATAATCGCCTGCTGTACTCTCAGTGTTAGGCCTCTATTCACATGGGTGAACCAATCGGGTCCACCTGTCAGTTTTTCAGGCGGACCAGATTGGATCGTCCATGTACTGTATCCCTGTGGACTGGCATGTGTAAATGGACTTGTATAAATAAACCCACCTACCTCCAATCTGATCTGGTCGAAAAAAAGGGGATCGATTCCCCTCCATCTAGGTTGACTGGATCGGAGGGCAGTCGTTCTGCTCTGTGAGCAGCTGGCTGTCCGTTTACACCCGGCCACCCACAAAGCAGAGTGGACCCTGCATAACTGAGTGGACATGAACCTATCATTCACCCACTCTGCTCAGCAAGGGATCAGCAGACAGATCCACTACTGAGCAAATCAGATTCAGCCATGTGTGAAAGGAGCGTTACGAAGATTAAAAGATGCAGTGTCTGCCTCCCTTTAGAAGTATTTAACCCTTAAGGAGAATCTCACCAAAATTGAAATTCCTATAGCAGGAATGAATAAAAACTGACTTGTATCCTAGTGCAGTCTTTGGGTAAAATCGTGAGCCAATCACACAAGCAGGAAATGACAATTCTGGAGGCATTCTGTACACCAGTCATGTACAGAAAACCTCCAGGTTGGATACTGCAATCCATTTTACAGAAAACTACAGCGCTACAGATTGCAAAGGAAATATTAACATTAAATTACAATATGGCTTGTGTAGCAATGGTATATCAAAAATATATATAATAAATAAAGCTGTGCTACCAATGAAAAATTGTGCATAGCATGATAAAAATAAGTTTAAAACATAGCTGCCTGCACCAAAATATAGGATATACTACATTGCTCAAATAGATAAAAAACTGTGCAGAGCTAAAAGTGAATGCATAGATTATAAAAAACACTAAACACAAATCATAAACAGTCCATAGAATGTGAATGACTGACACCCAATGCGTAAGATAATGCAAAAATCGATGATCCTCTTTCCCAATATCGTGTAAATGAAATCACCACGTGCGGAACACCAATAGATATAAAGGCTTACCAGAAGCCCTGTGACCCTAAGGGAAGTCAACAAAAGCTTTGAAAGACTGCAAATACAACCACCAACCGATCATCCACAGATATGAAACTTTAACTTTAACTCTTCACCCATGAACGTATAGTAGTGACAGGAAACTCACATAAAGAAGAAAAGAGAAGGCTCCAATAGTATAAATCCGATAAGATGTTTTTTAAAAGGAAGGTATAAAACTCACATGACAATCTTGTATAACAGGCAATCAAAATAAAGCCTGTCAGGTTTTGTTCACCAACGTTCCGCCAAAAGCAGGAGTGTGCATGCACAGATACGTGACGTGAAGGCCTCCGGCTCTCCCCAACGCGTTTCGTTGTCAATGGCGTTGTCAAGGGTACAGAGGCCATGTGTCTTATATAGGTAACATCTCTCAATCAAGAGAAGGAGACATCGGAACCAGAAGGGAAAAAACAGGAAATGACTAATAGTAGAGACACCATCTTAAATGAGGGAACTAAACTAATAGTGCCTTTTCTCCTTTATGTGAGTGTCATGTCACTACTACCCGTTCATGGGTGAAGAGTTGAAGATAAAGTCTTGTATCTGTGGATGATTGGTTGGTGGCTCTAGTTGCAGTCTTTCAAAAGTTTGTTGACTTCTCTTATGAGAATCACAGGGCTTCTGGTAAGCCTTTATATCTATTGGTGTTTCGCACGTGGTGATTTCATTTACATGATATTGGGTGTCAGTCATTCACATTCTATGGACTTTTTATGATTTGTGTTCAGTGTTTTTTATAATATATGCATTCGCTTTTAGCCCTGCACAGTTTTGATATCCATTTTAGCATTGGTATATGCTATTTTGTTTTCTACAAAAGTGGAGTTGCCCTTTAAGGGACCCTTTTTCAGTGTTGCAGTCTACCAAGGCTGACATCTTATTAAATCAGGCTTTCCCAAAGTCAGAGACAGAAAGGACCCTAAAGTGGGAGTGTTTGAGAACAGCTCTCAAGTATTATGTCAAGATGAACAAAAGGAGGTTTCTAGACAAAAGGGAACGGGGTGGAACTAGTATACTACAGCTATGCATGGATGAAAAACTGGAGCCCTGAGGCAGCATGCTTCTGTAACCAAACTCTCAGATTATAACAACATCAGCTAAGCAACCAAGCAAAGTATACCAGAACCTTTAAAATAAAAAAATAAAAATCCCACCAACTGCTTTGTTAATTCCCATTAGATAAAACATATAGTTAAAAAAAAAAAGGCAGATTTCAGTTTGCGCACTGGCAGAGATAATTATATATAAACTGACATTTCTGACATTCAGTTATGAAAAATAAAGACGGTGTTTCTGTAACAACAAATGTCAACTTCCATTAATTAACATTAACTTGCTTTACGTGACTGTGAGCTCTCAGCGTGAGCACTTGGCTCTTCTTGAGTCTGGAAATGCCTAGCAAATATTCAGAAAGGCTCTAGCATGGTACACTGAACAAACAGCAGAAATATCGTCAGTTTTTGCAAGCGTTGCTAAAACCTTGATTATCAACATAATCACATACACAGGCTTTGAGGGGAAAAACAGTGTCAGAAAGGCAAAATCATGCTAAGAATATGGCCTCTTGCTCATGGAAGTAACAATTTACTGATGTTTATGTGGCATCTTGTTGGCACAGAGATCCTGAGTAAGTCCCCTTTCACACGGGGTAGATCCGCTTTGTTCAGAGGGGGATCTGTCCACTGATCCCCTGCTGATTAGAGCAGAGCTCAGCAGGAGGATGACAGGTCCATGTCTACTCAGTTCATGCAGACCAGATGCGTACACAGCTCACTCTGCTCTATGAGTGGTCGGGTGTAAGGCTACTTTCACATTGTGCCATTCCATGCTTTATTTTAACAGCGCTTTACTGCGTTTACCTGTAGAAAAAAAAGATATGGAAGTTAAAAAAAAAAAAAAACACACAGCAAAAACACAACTGTGGGTGTGTTTTTTTGCTGCTTTTCCCCCTCATTTCAATGCTGAAGTATATTTTTGGTGTGTTTTTTTTTCCGCATCAAAAATGCAATAAAAATGCAGCTTATAGGACCTTGAAAAACACAATGGACCCACAACTGACCAATGTGAAGAGTTCTATAGCATTTAATGGTCATGTTTTTTATTAATAAGAAAAAACTGAAGAAAAGCTGATCAGTATGTAACCAGCCTAAACACTGGCTGTCCATTTACACCCGACTGCCCTCCGATCTGATCAGCTAAGATGGAGGTGGAGGATCCCCATTTTTTTTTTAGTGGACTGGATCAAATTGGTGATAGGTGGGATACATGGACCATCTGATGAAATCCCCCTGGAAAACTGACAGGCAGAGCTGATCAGACCACGCATGTGAAAGGGGCCTAAAATCTTCCATAAAGACCTTGTGTATACACGCATACAGGTGCATAAACACACATTTGCATATACATGCGCAAAATTTTTCTTCATTCTCTTCTAGTTGCAAGTGTTGCAATATTCATGTATACTGTAGATGCATATGTGCGTATATTATTGCACTCAAACATAAAATCCTCTATTTTTATTTGACAGCTCTGAACTCATCGCTGCATTACTGATCTTTATACAGTCACGTGCATTGTTCCACAGACAACAATGCACCTGTGTTCAGATCAGTAAAAAAAAAAAAAAGTTTTTTTTTTTCTTTGTTTTGTTTTTATCCATGTGCAAAGGGCCTACACCACTGTTCTCATATGCAATGGATCCAGAAAGTATTCACAGCGCTTAACTTTTGCCACAGTTTGTTATGTTACAGCCTGTGACGGAAGCGTAGGCAGGACAGAACACGCAAAGAAGATGAAGAACACACAAAGCTTTATTGAACTATGAAAGACACTCAATCAGGACAATTCATGGCACTCCGCGACATGCAGCTTGTAGGGACACCCACAGTAAGCGGGCTCACGGGGATTCAATGGGA